CGGGGGGCCGCATCCGGCCCCCGGGCCTTAGGTTGCCTACCCCTGCTACTGGGAATGGGAAGTTTTGGCCCTCTCCTCTCCATTCCCTGCTGCCATGCTGGATGAGTAATAAATGTGTCTTCTGTTTATGCATTGTAACAGTATTTGCCATAATAGTGTTTTTACAGCATTTAAATCATTTTATGCATCTTAATCTATGTTGAAATCCTGCCTCAAGCCTTGGAGAGAGGCAGATAATAAATGCATTATTATTATTATTATTATTATTATTATTATTATTATTATTATTATTACTTTTGCACTTTGAACTCAGTTTTCAGCAAGAGGTGTGAGCTGAGGACAAAGGGAGAAAATGGGAGGAGGTCAATGAAATCGGGACATTTTTTAAAGAGATGGAAGGGCAGAGGATTAATAGGAACTATCCCTGCCAAACTGGGACAGTTGCAGGGTATGGTCCTCTTTGTGTATCTAATGTTTGTGTAGAAGACCTAACAATAACTATTATTATTATTATTATTATTATTTACCCATGGATCACAGCAGGGAACAACAACAATGAACAGACACACCACCTCAGTTAAAACACATCCATTAAAACACACATCCATTGAAAAGGACAAAGAAGAGATGAACATCTGAAAATAATCCAAATTTTAAATTGATCATTTAAAATTCACAATTGGGACGAAGGAGTAAGGGTTTTCTTTTACAAGAGATGTCACTTCTGGAATTAATATGCTAAGGGCCATTTGTTTTTTGGTGGATCTTTTAAAAAAAGAAAGAGAAGAAGTTAGCAAAATCATAACCTGTGGAGACTGGGGGGGGAAATAAATGACTTAAGACTATTAAATATGATATTATTATTATTATTATTATTATTATTATTATTATTATTATTTATTTATTTATTTATTTATTTATTTATTTATTTATTTCCTGCTCTTTTCCCAGAACTGGGACCCAGCGCAGATCACAACATTTTTATCATTTTATCATTTTATCATGTTTTATAGCTGTATTGTTGTATTTCATGATTGTTACCTGCCATTATTATTATTAATAATAATATGCACACATATACACACATTATATATATATACACACACAGATATATACACATGCAATATGTATATTGTTCTTGTTGTGCTGTTGCTGTTGTCGTTATTATTGAACATAAATAGAGCCTTCATGTTCAGGCGCAGTCTATCTTTGGAGACCAAGCAGGGAAGAGGAATGAAAAAGCTCAGTTTCAGCCTCCGAATTGTTGGGGTGCGTATGTGTGTTCAGGAATATTTGTGGCACAGTGCTGATTCTTTGCAGGCCAGAAGGCTCTTCTTACCAGCTCGCCCTTGTCTCGCACTCGGGGACCTGAAATGATTTTGCATCCGCTGAGTCCATGCAAATGGGATTTGGTGTCTTTCTGGAACAAATCCAAAGGCCTTGAGAACCTCACCCGCGCCCAGACGGTGTCGAATCTCCATTTCATCCCAGACAAAAAGGAGAAGATGGATGTGTCCCATCCCTTCCAGCCACAACAGGGCCCTGGTCTCCATCTCTCTCCTTCAGACCCCTTTTCAGACTGAGTCTCTTTTGCCAAGCCTGCTTCATAAATTAATGGCACTCAATGGAGTTGCCCCCAAGACTGGATTCCTATGTTAATTGGGGGCTCCACTTTCAGGACAGATCCATCACCCCGTCCCTCCGCCTCTTTGCAATATATATATAGCAAAGCATGCACTTCCTAAGGAACCTATATGTCCTGCCTAGGCCTGCCAGCGCAAGAAGCTCACTGTATGGTTTGGCTGGTACGGTGGTTTCAATTTTGGACTAGGATTCCTCTGCAGGACCTGAGTTCGAATCCCTACTTGGCTATGGAAATCCGCTGGGTGACCTTAGATAGGTCACCCTCTCTCTCAGCCTCGGAAGGAGGCAAAGGCATTGTT